CCATCTTTAAAAACATGCTGAAAGATGGACATGCATTAAACATTTAATAGGACTGAAATTAATAGAAGAAAAAATATATATTATCTATTCCAGTAATAACTTACAGTTCATAAAAAATATATGGTTGATTAAATCCAAGTTAGGAGATACATGCTGTGTCATACATTACAAGGGCAATTTGAAATTCTACGCTTGAAGGAACTCTGTGGGTGGGTTGCTAAGCTGCTCTTACCAGATGCCCAAAGACAGTGAAGCATAAAAGCATAGCAGACAGAGCATTCTGGCGATGGGGTTAAAAGGAGAATCTTAAATAAAATAAAATAAAAATCCTATTTCTAAGCAGCGTGTGAGGAGAATTTACAAGCTGTTTAATTAACGCCACATTATTGTACAACAACAGGGTTCCTAAAAACCCATTTCAGATCAAAAGACACTGACAGCTAATCCAGAAAAACGCACACCGCTTGGACTATAGCAGTGGTGGCTAACCTCTTTGGGCTCCTGTGCCAAAAATTGTGCGCCCGCTTGCATGCTCGCACTTGCGTGCCAGCACCCAGAAGGCAATGTGCGCCTCCCCCGCATGTGCGCACAATCCTCCCCACTACCCCCTTACCTGCACTGAGCCTCACAGCTGATTTGCGGCCAGTTTGAGGCCTTTTTTTGGCCTCCCAGAGGCTTGAGAAAGGCTTCTGCAGGCTTTGCAGGCCGAAAACTCGTCCCGTTTCGTCACTTTTGGTATTTTCGGAAAAACAGGAAGTGATGAAATGGGACGAGTTTTCGGCTTGCAAAGCTTTCAGCTGTGAGGCCCACACATGCGCAGTGAAGTAAGTTTGCCTGAAGCTCACGTGCTGGCACAAATGGCTCTACATGCGACCTGTGGCACGCATGTCATAGGTTCGCCATCATGGGACTATAGTAAAGCTATTTTTAGTTAAAACGTTCTTTGTTGGTATTTCTTGAATACAGGTAATCCTCAACTTACAACCACAATTGAGCCCAACATTTATGCTGTTAAGTGAGAAAACCGTTAAGTGAATTTGCCCCATTTTACAATTTTTCTCACCACATTTGTTAAATGAATCACTGCAGTTCTTAAACTAGTAACATGGCTGTTAGGTGAACCCGATTTCCCCATTAACTTTGTTTGTCAGAAGATTACAAAAAGGGGATCACAGAGCTCCAGGACACTGCAACCGTCATAAATGTAAGTCAGTTGCCAGGCATCTGAATTTTGATCACACGACCATGGAAATGCTGCAACAGTTGTAAGTGTGATAAATGTTCATAAGTTACTTTTTTCCAGTGCCGCTGTAACTTTGAATGGCCACTAAATGAACCATTGTAAGTCGAGGACTACCTGTATTCAGTCCAGAATGAAAACAGAAAACAGTTTATTCTCACATTTTTTAAAGAATATGCAGTAGAAGTAGTACTCAGCTTACAACTACAATTGGGAGCCAGAATTTCCACTGCTAAGTAAGGTGGTTAAGTGAATCATGCCCAATTTTACACCTTTTTCCCATGATTACTAAACAAATCACTGCAGTTCTTAAGTGAATCTGGCTTCCCCATCGATTTGCTTGGTGGAAGCTGGCTGGAAAGGTCACAAGTGGCGAACATATGACTCCAGAATGCTGCAACCATGGCAAATACATGCCAGCAGTCATGTGCCTGAATTTTGATAACGTGACCGTGCTAACTGGAGCTAGCAGTGTTTTAATGGCTGGATGCCCTCCCTGTCAGCAATGCGGAGTTTTGTTCAGCAGATACATTCTCAAGTGTGCCCAGGGAGAGAAATATCTGCCTCTACCTAGGATCAAACTCACATACTGATGGTGAGACGAGAGCTCCACCACTCCTCTGACCAGACATATGAGTAGCTTAAAAACCTCTACTTGCACAGGCATATTTACTTAAGAATATGCCATGGTGGGAGAGGCAGTTGGTGTCATGGTTAAGGCATCAAGCTAGAAATTGGGAGGCTGGGAGTTCTGGCCTTAGCACAAAGCCCACTGGGTGACCTTAGACCGGTCACTTTCTCTCAGCCCTAGGAAGGAGGCGATGGCGAACAACTTCGCAAAAATCTTGTCAAGAAAACGTCAGGGTCCTCTCCAGGTGGTCTTCAAGAACTGAACACGACCAAACAAAAGTTAATTTTTAAAAAACCCACATTATTTATTTCAAGAGAATGCTTGGTTAAGAAGAAGAATACATGAAAAAGGACCCGCTACAGATACCAAATGGATTATTCATACAATTCCGCTGTATATATAAAAAAAATCTCTGCTTTGAGTTTCTACCTTTTTGATCCCTTCAATTGATCCTTAGAACTGGCAAGAGACGGTGCAAATGATTCACGCGTATGTCTTAAGCTTTTGGTCAAGAAAGAGAACACGCACAGATGTATTGATGCTGTAACTGAATCAGCACTTGCTAACTAAACAATGCTGTACCAAACACTTTAGAAACGCTCAGTGTGAGAACGGCATGCCTCAGATTTTCAAAAGATTAGAAGTTTGGGTAAAAGTCAACTGTATTCTTTTTGCCTGCCTTATTTTTCACACTCAGCATGGGCCTCAAGTCTCATGATATAAAACCAATAAATTAAAACAATTTCATCCTAAAGAATGTTACAGACTTGGAGGGTTGACATACAATGCCAACCAGACAGAAAAGGCTTGAAAGCTTTCAAATTGATTGACATCCATTTTCCTCCTTCATATCATCTTTGTGTCACAAGTGTCCAAAAAGACAGTGCACTGACAAATAGTCTGCTTATCTGCAAGGTCATCACATTCCCTTTTAGAATCATACAACCATTAGTTTCTAAGAAACTAAGGCAAAAGGCCAAAAACTTTGGTCCAGTCACAATCTCTCTCTCAACCCAACACACCTTACAGAGTTGTTGTGGTGGGGAAAATCAGAGAAAAGAAAAATTAGGTTATATTCGCCAACTTGAGTTATTTATAAAAATAGTAATGGTGGAATATGAATCATCTTCTTTTAATGACCCCATAATCCCTTGCAGGGTGGAGTCTGGCCAACTGAATGAAGCTTAGTGTTTTAATGGCCGGATGCCCTTCCTGTCGCCAATGCAGAGTTTTGTTCAGCAGATATATTCTCAATTGTGCCCAGAGAAAGAAATATCTGCCGCTCCCTAGGATCGAACTCACAGCCTCATGATTGTGAGGTGAGAGCTAATGGTGACATATGAATACAAACCTAAAATTATTTACATGCATAAATACATAACTTCTAAAAGTGCAAGATATGTTGCACAAATGCAGATAAGTGTATGGCACAAATACAGCCATTTTTTAGCCAGATCTGCCCAACTTTTTCCAACTTGAGATTTTGCAGAAGTTTTGAATTTCAACTCAAGCCAGCATAAAAGCAAGATACTGAGCAGATAAGGAGGGTGTCCATTCCGATCCCCATTGATAAAGTCTGGCTGGTAATAATGAGCACTATAGAGGAAACCACTGGAAGCCTCCAATTATAAATGTACAAATAAAGGAGAATATTTGTAGTTTAGGGTTGAAACCCCTCAATTATAAATGTCCCTCAAGATCAACCATAACAGAAAAGTGGAAGGGACCATGGAGGTCTTCTAGTCCAACCTCCTGTTCAAGCAGGAAACTCTTAAAGCATTTCAGATAAATAAATCTCTTTGTAAACATCTCCAGTGTTGGAGTACCCACTTCAGGAATCAAGCTATTCCACTGATTAACTGTTCTGTCGGGAAATTTCTCCTTATTTCTAAGTTGGATCTCTCCTTATTTAATTTCCATCCATTGTTTTTTCTGCTGCCTTCAGGTGCTCTGGAAAATAGGTTAACCCTCTCTTATTTGTGGCAACCTTTAAGATATTGGAACACTGCTGTCATGTGTCACCTCTAGCCCTTATTTTCATTAAGCTAGTTGTACCCTATTCCTGCAACCATTCTTCATATATTTTAGTCTTCAGTCTCCTAATAATCTTTGTTGCTCTTCTCTGCACTCTTTCCAGAGTTTCAACATCTTTCCTTTCACCACAAAATGTTTCTTTTCACCACAAAATCAGGAAGAGACATCATTTGAGCCACTGAATTTCACCTCTTGCCTAGTGCTGGAAAACAGATTATTCAAGACAGGTAGTTCTTGACTTACGATCACAATTGAGCCCCGGAATTTTGTTAAGTAAGACATGTGTTAAGTGAGTTTTGCCTCACTTTACGATCTTTCTTGCCATAGTTGTTAAGTGAATCGATGCAGTTAAGAAGTTAGTAACACGGTTAAGTGAATCTGGTTTCTTCCATTGATTTTGTTTGTCAAAAGGATGGAAAAGGTGATCGCCTGACCTCGGGACACAGCAATGATCATAAAAATGAGTCAGTTGCCAAGCATCTGAATTTTGATCGCATGATCAAGGGGAATGCTACAAAGGTCATAAATGTGAGAAACGTTCATAAGTCACTTTTTTCAGTGAGGTTGTAATTTGAAAGATCACTAAATGAATCATAGTATGTTGAGGACTAACTGTATCTGGGATAAATGGTTACCTGGACTTCACTTGGGCACATTCAGTGAAGGGATTTGAGCCAGTTCTTTACATTGACAGTTCTCCTCTCAAAGTGCTTCTACTATCAGGATTTATTTCTAAAAGTACCGCAAATTGAAATTTACTTTGTTACTTAAATGCATTAATCCAAAACTTTGGAAGGAAAGAGCACAGGTCTTGAGCTTCTGTGCGACACTAATTTATTTAAAAGATCTGTATGGGCCAGCCATCTTAAAGCCCACGGGTGGGTAGGTAAGAGAAACCTGATACTTTTCCAAAAATATTGTCCTATTGCTCCATCTTCCCCCCCACAAAGCTAAACAACTTCAATTCCTTTCACGTCTCTTCACAAAACGTAGCTACTACAGGTAGTCTTCGACTTACAATCACAAATATGACCTAAATTTCCGTGGCTAAGTACAACAGTTGTTAACTGAGTTTTGCTCCATTTTTATCACCTTTCTTGCCACAGTTGTTAAGTGAATTACTGAATTTTTTTAGAAACACTGTTAAGTGAATCTGGCTTCTCCATTGACTTTTGCTTGTCAGGAGGACACAAAAGGGGATCACCAGACCCCACAGCTGTCATAAATAGATGCCAGTTGTCAAGCACGCAAATTTTGATCATGTGACCAACTGTCAAAAATGTGAAAAAGTCATGTTACTTTTTTTCAGTGTCGTTGCAACTTCAAATGGTCACTAAAGGAATGGCTGTAAATTGAAGACTACCTATAGTTTCCTGATCACCTCTGCCACTCCTTCTCGGAACCTGCTGCAATTCTTCGGCATCCTTTTTTGCCCAGAAATTGGCAAGATCCTCAAGGTGGGATCCAAACCAGGCCAAATAAACAGGAACCCCCATTTCTCACAATTTGAAAATAGAATACAGGTAATCCTCGACTTACGACCACAATTGAGCCCAAAATTTCTGTTAAGTGAGAATTTGTTACGTGAATTTTACGATATTTCTTGCCGCAGTTGTTAAGTGAATCACCGCAGTTGAACAACCTGGTTGTTAAGTGAATCTGGCTTCCCCTTTGACTTGGGCTTGTCAGAAGGTTGCCAAAAGTGATCACATGACCCCAGGATGTTGCAAACATAAGTATGAGCCAGTTGCCAAGCATCTGAATTTTGATCACATCAACACGGGGATGCTGCAAAGGTTGTAAGTGTGAAAAACGGGCATCAGTCACTTTTTTCAGTGCCGTTGTAATTTTGTACAGTCACTAAACAAACTGTTGTAAGTCGAGGGCTCCCTTTAGAATAGAATAGAATTCCTTTATTGGCCAAGTGTGATCGGACACACAAGGAACTCGTCTCCGGTGCATAAGCTCACGGAGTACATATAAGATACCTTTATTGTTATTTTTTTTACTGTGAACACAATGGCCCACATTAATAATGAAATTCTGTTGCGTGCTCTCAAGGGAAAATACATCTACCCAAACACATACATTAACACACATATACACATGCTACATACATACATATATGCTTGTAGCATATATACACACACACATATACACACACAGTTTGTGTGTATGTATACACACACATATACACACATATACATTAATCGCTCTCCATTTTCAATACGTAGCGGAAAGAGGAAACTTAACATAAACAGCGAGTAATACCTCATAAATCATAGTTACAATCAGAAATCATAAGTTACCAACAACGATGGATAAAGCCTAAGAAACCAATAGGAGAAGGCTGTGGGAAAGATGAGAAAGGGCGAGAAATGGACACTTCTCCTTCCAGGCATCTTTAAACCGACCCCGCATTTTTTTGCCTGCAGCCCCCTCCCCCTCCAAGCAGGACCTGAATCTGCCACCCACTATTATTCCAACATCGGACCCCGCATTTTTTGCCTGCAGCCCCCTCCCCCTCCAAGCAGGACCTGAATCTGCCACCCACTATTATTCCAACATCGTGTGCGTGTGTGTGTGTGTGAGAGAGAGAGAGAGGGGGGAGGGAGGGAGGGAGGGAGGGAGAGAGAGAGAGAGAGAGAGAGAGAGAGAGAGAG